GATGAATGGGCTTTCATAGTTTTCTGTGAACAAAGAATCACTGTTAAGTGTGGACCGTGTTGACTGCGCATTAATTTGGAAACTGCTTCAACACACAGTATGCAGTGTGCTGCTCCAGGTCTTTATCATTCTCACTCAGCAACAACTTTGACAATGGCACATGTGAGTTATTAAGAAGACAGTTGCAGCTAGGAAGAAAATTTCCTTCTCGACGAATTCATCATCTGGGCTGTACATTCGTGTATTTATTATAAGTGGGTAGGAAAGTTCCAGAATAATTTCCGGTTAAAGGTCAAATTAATAAAAATTACAATTAGGAATTAAAACGCCATAATAAACAGGGGGATGGATAAAACTCAAACAAAGTAGCATCATAAAAACTAAGAAGATTGACATATTGTGCAGTTAGGGGTTAGAAATGTAGAAATAACAAAAATAGACAGGATGTTTGGATAAAAACTAATGTGATGAATAATTGTTTATGCAATCAGGGATTAAATATGTAGAAATAATAAAATGACAAAATAAACACGAAGTTCGGATATGAAAATTTGGTATTGTAAACAGGGATTAAGAAAACTTAAAAATAACAGGAATAAACAGGAAGTTTAGATAAGAAAGGCGGTGGGATGGTCGTTTCTAAAAAAATTACCTGTTTATGATGGCCATGGCAGGCACGAACAGGCGTTGAACGTATTTCATTTGGATACAAAGCGTGAGTTTGAGCTTTTGGATAGCTAGCGCCTCGGCTATGCTCAGATGTCTTCATTTCACTCCTTTTGATGGGTTTGATTGAATCTTGTATATTATTTAGAAGGGTTTTTCGAATGGCGCTGAATGTCCTGAATTGACCAGATGTTCTGTCACTGAACTATATACACAAGTTTTCGTTCTCCTTTTACTAACCAGGCTGGGTAGTATTCACGAGCGCGTTTTTCAAGTCGGCGCATGATACGGTTGATGTACTCAGCTCCGCAAGAGCAAGTAAACTGGTATGTGCACGTTGGGGTGGCCCAATGCGACAGCTTGTCTTTCGCGTCCTGGCTGAACAGTTTCTTGCAGGAAAACGTCAGTCGTACGCTCGCGGCGATTTATGTTTTCCTCAGCGATTTGGAGAGGCGTGATCCACAACAGAAAGCTCAGTGAAGCATCTGAATCGGAAAGAGAAGTAAGGCAAAGCCGCCTGCTATCATCTATGATATTTCTGATTGTGGTCGTGGTGGGAACAAGCGGGACACCACACATGCCCAGCAAGAATACAGGTATACGTTGGACCGACGAGAAGACTCTAGAAGATCTGGACTTCACAGATCCCTTATGTGTAGCGTCACGAAAACTCGAAAATCAACAAGTTGGTAGGACAGTTAAACAGCAGAGAGAAAACTTCAAGTGAACATCAGGAAGATGGAGGTGGTGAAAATAACCAACCAACAGAAACAAGCATCACTGTCAACGAAGTAAATTTGAAAGAGGTTACTTTCTTCACTTATCTAATCATCATCCTTTCAACTGCAGGCTACACGGATGAGGGTGTCAATGGGGAAGTCTTCTACAGTCAGTATGGGGAACAGAATTCGGATTTCCAACGCCAACGTTAATTCAGCCGCTTCTTCTATATGGGTCCAAAACTTGACACTTGTTTCACGAAAAGCATATCCGACAGAGCTTTCCTCACTCCATATTAAAGATCGGATGGCAGGCCAGATAGGATAAGCAACACGAAACTCTGGGGATGAACTACTTAAGAACCTGTTGCTCGAAAAATATATATTGAAAGAAGTGGAGATGAACTGGACACACACAGTGAGGAGACATTTGGGTGGCTTCTAGTCCACCAGAGCCTAGAGTAGAACCCTAATAGGAAACGACTCGTACAGTGTCTGAAGGTGACACGAAAAGAAATCGTGTGAGGAGATGACAGCCTATTGTGGGGTCAGGGAAAGAGGACCGCATAGAACTGGAAGAAGTGGAGATGTGTTGTTAAAACCCATGTTCCACTCTGAACCCAAGGGATTAATGATAATAATATAACAATGTACAGATCTGGCTGTGGATTAAGAAGTCAGTTTTACACCGTAACCATTATTTCTAGATTAACATCAACAGCTTTAAATGACACAGAAACTCCATGTCTTAAATTCCTCATGGCTAGATTATACACGAAGAGTACTTAATAAAATAAAAATTATCAATTTTTTACTCATTCCACCAGGTCACATTTATTTCTGTATATCGATTAATAATAAGCGAAATTCATTATTTGTCGATATCAACCACTGTCGAGTTTCTAGTGTGCTTGACATCATTCGTTAAGATTCAATGGTCAAAAGTTTTACCTCCAACTGGCTTTCATAAATCTTGGAAATCTGCAACAAGACATTTCTGCAACCTCTTCAGAGCCTATTTCTTCGAAACGACAACTGTATTTCTGTTTTGCAATAAACTTCACTGAATATTTAATCTCGTTTACAAAACGTCATTATAAGTGGCCTTAATTCTATATAACACGGAAGTGAAATTAGGCCTGTTAGGCCTGACGCTAACAATGAATGATGAGACGGATGGCATAACAAGAACAATATTAATAGACAGTCCAATGATTTTAATTAGCTTGGAAGTATGCATTTGTTAATGTAGTTTAATTGCATGGAGGATTTAATCATGAGCTGACATCAGTTAGAGAACCACTGGAAAACCTGGGAGTACTGGACAGCCGTTTCGTCCTAGTTTGGGACTCCTTAGCAGTACGCACCCACCGGGATTCGAACCCAGGACCTTCTGGTTACAAGGCGAGCTCGTAGACCATTGAGCCACTGGGACCCGATCCAATGGTCCTTGAATTCTAACTTCTGCCAGTTCACGACATAGCGCGACCACTTCGCAATGTCTTCTTCGATGAGTTACTGCCTCATCTTCGACCTGCTGTAAATCCTCCATGCAATCAAACAAAATCCCTACAAAAACCAATACTTGAAAATGTAGTTTAAGTTAATTGAAGGCACAGAAGTCAGCGAAGAGTTCTCCGTTTTCATTCATTTCTCCGAGAGCTTCTCTACCTATAATGAGTTCTCTTCCTGTGTTATCTGGTCCCAGTTTGGCGTTCATGTCTCCCATTAGTATTTTAACGTCGCAGACTGAAGCGTTGTCATCTTATGAGGAAACCCTGAAGCGTTGTCTATTGTTGCCTGTAGTTGTCTGTAGAACTCTTCTTTCTTTTCAAGGTCTGTGTTGTTTGTGGGTGTATGACATTCTATAACTGTCACTCTCCTTCCTTTTGAGTTGAACAGAGCTTGAAACAGCAGTCAGCTCCCTACCTCACTCAACTTCATCGACTTTGAAAAGGCCTTCGATAATGCAGTGTCCATCAAGAGGTGATTTGAAAACTACTTCGCTACTACTGGGTGCCGCCGACAATTATACACCTCAGCCATCCAACAGTTAAACGACAATGCTGCATACCAAGTAATCCACAACGGGAAACTCACGGAATCCTTCGAAGTGAAGACGGGAGTAAGACAAGGCTGGCTGGCTGCCTGATATCTCCAATGATTTCCCTGATTTCGGTAGACTGGATAATGGACAGATAGCGGGATGGGTAGCGAGGAAACAGACATAAAATGGACTCACACAAAAAACTTGCATGATCTAGACTTCGCCCGCGATGATATATGTCTGATTCCCCAAAAACTGGAAGATATGCAAGTAAACAGAAACGAGTTGGCATAAAAGGCATTCATAGAAGATAGGACTTCAGGTAAACATGTAGGAAACAGAGGTGATGATGAAGATTCTTGGCCAACACCAACAACAACAATCACAACAATCAGCATAAATTGGAGAAACCTGAAAGAAGCAACCTCCTTCAGCTAATTACCTACCTGGAAGCTTTTTTTCAACTACAGGCGGATGAAAATGACGAGGATATCGAAGCAGCGAGGATCGCGAAAGCAAGACAAGCTTTCATTACTGTCAAGTCTATGTGGAGGAGATGAACAGTACTCAGCATGGAAATGAAAATAAGATCCGGATTTTCAACTCTAATGTGAAGTCAGTCAGTGCTACTTGCTGTAGGGATCAGAGACTTGGCTCGACGCTGCTACACGAAGGGCACTTCGAACAAACTACAGGCCTTCACCAATTACTGTCTTCGCTCACTACTTCGCTCGCTGAATACCAGATGGCCGGCCGGCTGGCCGGTCTGTAAATATCAGTAACAGGGTCAGATCTCTGTCAATGAGCAAACCAGCCTAACCCAGCAGGAACCGATTGTGCAACAGACAGGAAGGAGGAAATGGAGGTGGGTTGGATTGTGGCCATACCGTAAGAAAACAAACCATCAAGTGAGTGAGTGACATCACACTACAGGCCATCGGTCGAGTGGACCCCGAACGGTAAGCGGCGAATTAGTTGGTGGTCAGTGCCAGGGGACAAGGAGGAGGACGTGATGTGTAGAGGAGATGAAAGTGTGTGGTCAGAGGTGAAGCCGTGTGAAAATGTTGACAGAGAACCGAACGGAATGGAGACGTGCGGCTGAAGCCCTATGTTCCTCTAAAAACTGAAGGAAACAATATTAATAATAATGTAGTGTAAGTATGATTATAGGAAAATAGTAAGCAAAGATATCAATTATTATGTTGTTTCGCACACTAGGTAGACTATTAAACACTGTGTATTTTCACATATTCTCAAATTGTCACGTCATTTTTTTTCATTATTTCATCACCGTAATTCGCTCCTGTTGTTGGCTATTTTTCTGAGAAAAGTGAAATAAAAGTTTTATATTATCAAGTTCGATTGACACTCCTTCACAGTCAGTTAACGTTGCCTTCTTCTCGCCTAGTTTCCTAGCTGACAGTGAGCTCGGAAGCCAGCAAGTCCAGACCACACAAAAAAAAATTGACATCACAACTACTGAAACATCAAAGCCAGAAAGAAGCTTCATGGAAACACAGAGAAATTGACAAAACAGAACAAAAAACAAACAGTATTCTAGTAGTTACCATAAGATTATTGGCTGCTTCATGCCGTTTAATCCAATTTTTACCTTGTGATTGTGGATCAACCAGTAGTGGGTATCTGGAGGCAGAAGTGACTATGATGGCGTTTTGTATGGACAGATCATCACTGGGTAAGCCTTCTAGATTCCATTCACTGACCTATACATAGTATGAAAAAAGTAAAATGAAACGATAATAATAGTAATAACGTTATTCTATTCTGTGTGATGATTTACTTTATTCCAAAAACGGTACTTGTGATACAGAATGGAATTTTCAGCATTAATCACAATATTATTGCATCTAATTTCCTCAAATTATAAATATAAAATTATTCACGCACAGAAAATTTTCCACATTTATAATAGGGGTGGGTAATGTCAAAAACATGCAACATATAAAATGGAAATAATAATAATGATAACAGCTAAGATGGTAATAATAATAATACAAGTGAAAATTGTCGTGGGCTTGTTTCACACATTATTGTCGGTGTATGCGGTATGGAAATCCTAACATGTTTAAAAATATTGAATATAATGTTCTCTCTACATGATATGGTAAAGGGAAAAGCAAAGATTATAGCAGTCATAGAGATAAGTTGGTGCTTGCAATTATGAAAGTAAAACAAACAAAAAAGCAACAGGACCATAAATATAATAGAAATAATAAAAGTAAAACTTGAAGGTATATAAGGATGGATGGATGGAGGTAACTGTTTATTTACTAGATCAAGAAAAGGTTAGTTAATTGTTGCCTGACACTATTTTCATCACATAAAATATGTGCGAAGTATGGTATCATAGAATTTTTATACTTAGACGTGCGAGCATACAGTTTTCTGAAGTTACTTTTGGTTCTACCTGAGGAGATACAAAGCGAAAGCTGAGGGTGCTGTGGTGTATACTCCAAGTTAGACAAAATCCCTTTAGCAAATTTATTGTACGAAGTCAAGTACCTGTTGACAACGACGTTAACTATGTGGTCCAGTGGGACACCACTTGCCCTACTGACTGACAGTCTTCAGAGTTCTACGAAGTATGACATAGTCTTTTTTCTAAATAGTCCAAAAGGGAATAAGCAGGGGTGAACAGTGAAGAAGAATGGGTAGAATGCAAACACTAGTTGACAAACCGTAAGAGGAGGAGTTGGCTGAGTTATGCCTGAGGAATGCTTTAACTTCTTAATGTAAAATGTCAGGTGGAATATTTTACTGGAGATCGTCTAGACATGGGAAGACCAGGAGAGATCAGAAGAGAGAATAAGTCCGAGGTACTTGATTTCTGATTTGATTCCTAAATCACTGTCGTCAATCCTACAACTGTCATGAGAATCGACTTCTTTTAACTGTCTTTTACATCTTAAGCTGAAATTAACAGTTTGACATTTAGAAGGATTCAGTTTAAGACCGTTAGAATCAGACCATTTACTGACTCCCGATACATAAACTGTATCTGGTAGACTTCATTAGGTCGTGTGTGTGTGTGCATAGCACGTATAAGAGAGACAAATAGGATAGCACTACTGGCTGATGACAGAAGTTGAGATAACTTTTACTGTCAAGAACTAAAAATAATGAATCATTAGATTCCAAGATTTTGGCTAACCCAATGAAAAGTTCAGAAACATGCTGAAACAACTGTCCTGTGACTTAAGTATCCATACTTCTATAAGTGACGATAGTTCGTGAAGACTTGTAACTTGGCGTATCAATGAAATCCTCATTAAACCCACAAAGAGGGACAAAAAATGGAAAATGTTAAATGAGCTATATACTCAGAAGAGATAACTGAAGCAATGAACTAAGGATTGTACATGACATTCTAATTGAAAATAGTTATCCAGACAAATTCATCAAGAAACACATGACAAAGAAAGCAGAAAAGGATTATTCTCCATCTGTAAATAAGAAGCCTTCATATATATAGGACCGCAATTCAGGTATGATGCACCTAGTGAAATAACCACTAACACATTGAGAAAATCCATCCAAAGAACTTTTAATTCTGACAAACTGCAAGTCTTATATTCTGCACGATCGATGGTGATTCCTCAGTTGAAATACGAAGTACCTAGACTAGCCGCTTCCAGTCGTATCTACCAATTCCATTGCGCTGTGGTGGAGCGAGTTATATCGGCTGTTGCTTTAGGAACTTGAATTTTCGTGCTCACTCGAGAATATCTACAAGTGTGGTGTGGCTAAATAAAGGTGTAGTAAAAACCATCAACTGTTTGATATTGAACAACCTGGTTCAAAGGCACCAGCCACAAATCCAGCCAGCCAGCATTAAAGAATCCTTCTCTATCATCTATCGGGTATTAAACAAATTACTAAACAGCAGAAGCTATCGTGATAGGCCCGAAACAACCAGTGCTCTGTGTGGAGAAGAAGCAAGTCCAGACAGCTACTGTGGTGAGAGCAGCCTGCTAGCCAATTGGTTGACATTAATCTACGTCAATGTCTAGGTCACTAATATTGGCCGTGAGAAAATATGAACAAGGCTGATTCAACAACCAACCACAGCAAACTTAAACGTGAGTAAATATGACTCTCAGATATATGGCTCCACTTTCCGAGGGACTCGAAAACAACCAATTAGAAGACTGTGTTTGTCTGCTTGAATAAGCTATAATAATGTAGATGAAATATATATATATATATATATATATATATATATATATATATATACGTGTTGATTTCAGTAATAAAACGATATGTTGCAGGCCCTTGTCCTCTGTTGTTACACTACTACTACTACCCTGGCCGGCCTTCTGTGGAGACTATAAATTCATGAATTCTTTTTTAATATCTTTTCTAATTTTTCTGATATTCAGTATATTGTTATGTTGATGCTATTGAACTGTAATCCATTGATATTATTACTGATTCGATGTTATTTAAACAACGACATTAATGTTTGTAATAACACCAATTCATTCACTATTAAGGATGGATGCATATAACTGCAGAATCTGTTGATGAAATTGTCAAAAATGTGAATATTCTTTGTTCAGTAACCATACTGTTTTTGCAAAAAATAAGAAATATATCTTTTATTCCAAATAAACTTTGAATACATTTCATTTGTGAGGAATACGGAACCAGAAGTGTATGCAGCTGCTAAGAAATTGGATCCATCAGCTAGTTTCACTTGATACGTTTATTATACATGTAATAATGATAATCTACTTTATTCCAAAAACAGCACTACTTATAATACAGAATGGAATTCTCAGCATTTGTCACAGCACACTGCATCTGATTTACTCAAAATATAAATAAAAGTGAAAATTAAAACAAAATTAACCAGAGGAATTTGTCCACGCTTACGATATAAAGTCAAAAATATTCAAAGTACGAATTCAGAATATTAAATATTACAATAATAATAATAGTGAGTTTGTTTCAAACAGTATTGTCGATTCAGTTTGGAAATTGTAGCATGTTATCATAGAGGCATTGAGTCTAATGTTCTGTTGATATAGCAGCATGGTGAGGGGAAATACAAAATTAACAGTTATAACACGGCTTAAATGATGTTTACACTTATGAGAAAATAAATAAACAACTTAAAACAAAAATTGAGAGGATTATAAATATAAGACAAAGAACAACAACAAAGCTTGATATTGTAAGGGTGGAGGAAAATGGTTTCTTTAGTAGTGCAAAGAAGGTTAATTAGTTAGTTCATGCCTAACACTATTTTCATCACATGAAATACGTGCAGCCAAATATGGTATAGTGGAATTTTTATACTTAGACGTACGTTCATAAAATCTTCTGAAATGACTTCTTGTTTTACCTGAGGAGACACAAGGTTGGAGCTTCGGGTGCTGTGGTGGATTCTCACAGTCTGACAAAATTCCTTTAGCGAATTTGTTGCATGACATCAAGTGGCGGTCGTCAGTGATGATGTCAACGATATGGCCCCCAATGGGATACCACTCACCCTACTGACTGACTGACTGACAGTCTTCAGAGTTCTACGAAGTATGACATAGTCTTTTTCAAGCAATCCAGGAGAGAATAAGTAGAGGTGAAGAGTAAAGAAGAATAATTAAGATGCACGAGTTGACAAACTGTAAGAGGAGGAGAGGTTGGGTTATGCCTGAGTGCCTTAACTTCTCAATATAAAAAGTCAGACGAAATATTCTTTTAGAAATCGCTAATACGTGGGAAGATCAGGATAGTTAGGTCAGAAGAAAGAGTTAATCCAAGATACTTAACTTCACACTTGTTTTCTATGTCAATGCCATCAATTTTGCAGGGTCATAGGAAACAAAGGCTTCATTTAACTTTCGTTTACATCGGAAACTGAAATTAACAATCTGACATTTGGAAGGATTTAGTTTAAGGCCGTTAGACGAAGGCCATTTGCTAATTCCTGATAGAAAGTTGTTCATTTTATCACAGTTTAGCTAGAAGTTAACAGATATTGAAATAGTTAGATCATCGGAATACCTAACAAAGTTCATTTCATCAGAGTGAGGCAAATCATGCAAAAAGAAAGAAAACAGAAAAGGAGAAAGGGCAGCACCTTGAGGGACACCAGCCTCAGTAAGCAACGAAGTCGACGACTTTCCCTGACTGATATACAGTGTACTGGTTTCTTTCTGAGAAATAAGAATGCAGCCATTTGACAACCCAACAGTCAGTTTGAGTTTCACCAAGCTTGTTTAACAAAATTTTGTCCTTAGGTACTGAGTCGAAAGCAGATGTGTAATGTGCAGTGAAAAAATTTAGGCCCCTTGTCTAAGCTGAAGACTATGTTATGATACAAGACTGCAACTGCATCTAAAGAACTTCTACTTTGTTTATAGGTGAAATGTTTGGGATTGCTAAAGGCTTTAAGTGAAGGTTGAAGATTAAGTAAGAGTAACTTTTCCATAGCTTTTAAAAAAGGGAAGGTAATAGCAATAGGTCTAAATTTAAAACATGTTCCAGTAGACGACTTAGGTATAGGCACAATTTTGATGGCCTTCCAAATGGCTGGAACGACATTTCTGGAAAAAAGATTCGTTAAATATGTCCATGAGGGGTTAACACAGGATGTCTGCGCACTTTTTAAGAATAACACTCGGCAATTATCTCAGACTCAGAGAAGTGAGTTTGTCATTTCTGTGTTGATTGCCAAAAGCACACAAACCAAATCCCCATTCGTCTTGGTCAAGTAATATCGCCGGTGAATTGTTCTACTTTGCTGGTGAAGAATCTGGAATTCATTCGTAACCTAAAGGTAACTTTCAGTTTCTTGAGAAATTTAGTGGTTTAAACATTTCCGAAAAATTCTTTGTATTCTTCGACGTATCCTCGTTACTCACTAACGTCTTACTTAAAGGTGTAATTCAGGTTCTTTGCATTTAGTGTGAATCTCTTCCTTAACCAAATAAAGGTATGGCAAAATCCTAACGGCATTCACGAAAAATGTCCAGTTTCGTTTAACTAATAAACTTTATCAGGTAACTGATGTATTAGCCACGGAAACAATAATAATAATTTGCTTTATTCCAAAACAGTACTTGTGATACAGAATGGAATTCTCAGCATCTCACTACAGTATTGCATCCAGTTAATACATAAACAATAAATAAAATTTCTACATAGATTAAGGGTAATCTCGGTTCGTTTTGACAACAACATATTAGCATATCGGTCGGTAGCAAAGCCAAAATTGAACAGAATGTTTGAAGGTGTTGGAATAGTAGATGGTAGAATATTTACTGGCGTAAGCGGTAACAAAAATGGTCGAGATATACAGAGTGTGAAAGAACGAAGAAGAATGTTTCAATTAGAGTTTGTAAGGAAAAAGAGAGAAAAGGAAAAGAAAGAAGGAAAACGTTGTATCTATAAGGGATATGAGTTGAAAAGACGAGATCCAATTGTTCTACTGACTATTTAACAAGTCATAGGTGTCACACCTAATGCTTTCTTTATCACACAGAACACTAGCCAAGTAGGGTACGGTTGAGTTGCTTTTGTACTTGATAGTGTGAGCATATAGTTTTCTATATAGGCTTCTGGTGTGCCTGTCTGATGACATACAAGGGGAGCGTTGTGAATGAAGAGGGTGGTGTTGTGAGTTAGATAGATAGATGGAATGGATTTAGCCCATTTTTCACATGAGTCCAAGTGCCTGTCAACCAGAATATTAACAAGCTGGTTGGTGAAGTGGCACGTTGCTTACCACCCTGATGACAACCTTTAACATCCTACGTATTAAGATATAGTCCTTCTTCAGTAGCCAGCCCTAGAAAAACTAAGGAGGAACAATAGAGACTAATAGGCAGGAAGGATGCAAGAGTTAACGAATCGTAGGAGTAAGGGTTGGTTGGGTTTGATTATTCCAGAATGTCTTAACTTCTTGATGTAGAAGGTAGGACGGAATATTTTCTTAGAAATCATCATCAAGATATGAGACGACCAGGAAGGGAAGATCAGCAGATAGAATGACGTCTAGGTATTTAATTTCTGACTTGGTTTCTCTCTATTTCAGTGTCATCTATGTTGCACACCTCGTGAGTGCTAATCTGAAGAAAAATCACTACCTTTCACTCACTGATGGAGTTTTCTTTACTTTTCTCAATGAGATTTTGATAAGACACTGGATAGTAACCAATATTATGCGTCTGCTTCATCGTTGGGTTTGCAGTGTGGCCACCAGTTTGAGTGAATTGTAATGGATACTCTGATTGGATTTGGGTCCAAGGTTTCCTGCCGACTGCCTCCAAAAAAAAATCCAGAGTACCATAATAGCCAATAACACGTTGCAAACTTGACTGATGGAATTCAGTCTGTACCGAAAAAAGGACTAGAAGCATGACATCATTAATTGTTACTTAATGTCCAGTCAAACGTTTCCATTACACCCTTACATGAAATCAGTCGGGAGCTCAAGTAGTTCAGAAGTAACGTCTCTGATTGTAGCAATGACTGACCCGGAGTCAAGTTCTTTCAAGACTGCGGATGTACTTTGATGACGGCTGTCATAAAGCACGAATCGAAGGTCGACGGCTTCCTGCCGATCACCCACAATCATCTAACAAGAAGGCAGTGATCAAAGTTTCAGTCTGTTCAGTGAGTGCCGAAGTGTTCCTAATAAGTATAATCTAGCAGTTCCTAGTGTCTATTTACAGTGTATTTAAGAACAAGTTAACTAATTTCTGAACTTTTTTAACACTATTAAATTTCAGTTGGTGGATGATGACTAGCAGTGGGATCCAGGATGCGCATTTCGTCCTATTTGAGACTCGTCACCCGGATGTACCTGCATTTCTCAGCGAGTGATGATGTTCCCACTGAGGCTAGAACCCATAGTCACCATACACTAATTAAATACTAATTAAGTGCCCAGACATTGAAGCATCTGCACAAGAAGCCGGTCGACATGTCAGCCTGAGACTGAGGAGTACTTCGGTCCAATCAATCCACCGAAATATCTCAAATTCAATTTAATTAATATAACCCGTTGCACAAGAGGCGGCTCTCGTGGCCCAAGTGGTCTAGTGAATAACGCTTTGGCGTTTTAAACTATGGGCACTGGGCTCGAGCCTCGGTGGGAATATCATCACTCACTGGGAGATGCAAGTACAACTAGCCAACTGACTAGTCCCAAATGGGACGAAATGCGCGTTATCCTGGAGTGGATTCCCCTGCTAGTCACCATCCACCAATTAAATACTAATTAAATGTCAACCTGAGACCGAAGAGCACTTCAGTTCAATCAATCGACGGGAAAATCTGAAATTCTGTTAAATTTGGATATAAGATGGTAAGAAGATCAATGGAAAATTACCTTCTGATAGCGTTAATTCCCGATGAACTTAACTCACATTATGAACACATATAAACCATTCGCCTAATAAGGCTTGAAGGAAGTAGCATTCATTATAATTCATGCAGTCTAAATGTGTCCTGAGGGTTCATATCCTTGTTGCTAAGGTATACGGCAGTAAACAGTGATTAGACTGTAAGCCAGAAAGAGTCAGTGCTGTAGTGGTCTGTGGGTTCCAGTTCCGACCGACACACTCCTTAATCTCACTTAGCCGTTGGTGAGACTGGTAAAGAGAGAAGTTTGAGCGAGAGAGGCTAGCAAGCCCCGCCCCGTGAAAATGAAACCACTGCTACTCAAACTTTAAAGCACAAGCCTGGAGCTCCGTGTTTCTCTAGGGATTCAATGGGGTAAAATAAATAAGGTGAAATAGTAAGCTAGATAATTAATCTGCTGAAGAAGCTGCGGCTTACACAGCGAAACGTTCGGAAAAATCTTGTTTTGATTTTCTTAAACACGCTAGGATTAATTTAGATAATTTATAATGAATCATTCTGACTCGGCGCTCAAATTATTCCGGAAAGTTCGTAACACCTACGGTCTGGAAACTTATAGATAGGGTTAATTCAAATCAAAAAACAAGACGCATTAATTATAAAAAATAAAGGATGACTTAAGATGAGTATTGACATCCACTTACTACTGGTCCTTCTGTTAGCATGTTGATAACATCCAAGTTAATTGTAAAGGGTATTTGTCGTGCTGCAAGCTCTCGAAACCAATGAGTCGATAGCCTGTTTCGAAAATCTTGATTAAATGGTCCACTGTAGGACAAGAATGCTGTACCGACTAAAGAATCACCGATGAGTTTATTTACTTGTTCACTCAGTGTACGCGTTTCTTCAGTCCAACGAACTTTTTCACCGGATAACCCATCGATTAGTGTTGTCGCTGTAGCCATACGACGTCTACAGGTTTCAGCATCATCAGCCAACTGTTGTTTACGTTTCATTGCCTCTTCATATTGTTCGCGTACAGCGGATAATAAAGCTACTTTTTCGGCCAGAATACCTTCAACTCTGGCTAAATCTTTATTAGCACTAGCCAGCTTATTTTCCATTTTAGCTAGATTATCTTTCAACGGGATAACTTCTTTATTAATCCAATAGAATTTCTCCATAGCTAGTGTCCATGAACACAGACCAGCTACATTCCCACAAACTTTTTTTGCCGTTTCTAAATTATAATCATCTTGTTCCAGATAGGGCTGAATGAAGTCGACTGTCTCTTCATTGATTAAATCTCTTGGAAAGTTTAACAGACTGTTTAAAAAGTTTGATGCAGCCAACAGTTTCAGTGATTCGCCCCATGATGGTTTGATACAGTTAGCGCGTTCTGGATCCTTTTTAACTGGATCAACTTTTCGTTTAAATAAGAGTAATACACAATCCATGATACGCATAATTAGATGTGGTGGTTTAGCCAACTTCCTGACTGTAGATATATCTCCCGGTTTGATAGTATTCAATGCTTCTTCAGCTTCTTCTAAAGCTGGTCTTGCTGCTTCCAGTTTCTCTTCAGCAATAGCTCTTTCAACTTCAATACTCTGGACAATAGCTAAACACTTATCTTTGACTGTTTCCACTTTACTTTTAACCGCCTCAGCAGCTTGCGTCTGTTGTAGCACGTTGGCGAGAACAATTTCAGCTTCACGATTAGCAACTTCTAATTCTTTTTCTTTATTTGCTAATTCTACGCTTAGCTTAGCTATAGAATCTTGAGCTTCAATCAATTTTTGTAAACCTGAACCGAGGCGATTGATTTGTATATTGACACTGTCGACTTGTTCACGGTAAACTTTCATATATCCGGCTATAAATGAAATGTATGATTTCGGTGTAACATTGGCTGTACGACGATAACGTTCAAAGTAGGCCTTACACTTAACCCCGACATCATCATGTACATCAGCCACTAAACCGATTAAACTTTTTTTCACTGTTGGTGAACATGATATTTCATAATTGCCGAGAAAGTATTCAGCGACAGCTAATAAAGCATCCTGTGGCCAACGATGGAACCAATCGATTGTACAACCGGATATTAAACCAGGGAAATACAATGATCGTTGACGGAATTTTTCACCAACTGGAGAAAAACACAAAACAATGTGTAGATTTTTCCGTATACGTGACATAAAATATTCATTTAATATTTCATTTTCTGGTGGTCGTTTTGGAAATTCTTTCTTCATGATCGGTACTAATGAGCCTAAAATCTCATCCATTTCATCACGTGGAAATAAACCCGATATCTACAAAACAAACAACAACAAAAAACAGAAGAAACTGAAGCTAGTTAGGATACCGCATTAATTTACTGCAAAACAAATCAGTATTAATCGTGGTGTTTCAAGTCATTTATGCCAATCTGTCTGTCTATCTGTTGTCGACATAGAACCAGTTTGCACCGATATGCACCAGTTCAGGTCGCCACACTCCACTCCTTGTAGCACACAAAGCAAGAGAAGAAAGTAGAAGAAATACATAATAGAGAGAGACAGTAAACAGAGGTGTGAGACAAAGGAATAGTAATGACGAACGAAGAACAATATAGATTCGTTGGAAATCATAAGTCACAAGCAGTGGATGCATCTGCGCTAGCCATTGAGAACGATTTCGAGCCAGCCATATCACCAATTGTTTCCAACCATTGGTTTTATCGTCCTGAGGACCCCAACCAGTGAGTCAAGAAGTCTACACATTCCTACGTGGCTGACTGGCTGGCTTAAACTAACTGTTGTGGATTTCATTGACTAGTGCAGCCATGTTTTGGTTTGACCACCTCTAGCTCTTTTCTAGCCTGACTATATGTCAGCTAACACAGCCCGTCAGTCAAGGAAGGCGATGTCTAGGCATACGCAACACATGTCCTAACCAGGTCAGTCGGTGTAATTTCACAGCCTCGTCAATATTTCCCTCATTGGCTTAAAATCTGTGAGATTTGATCATGCCTACTAATAAAGGACACAGAAATAATCTTCAAGGTTTAGTCAAGCATCTTTTACAATGTTCTGTGTAGTCTAGCATTATTATTATTACTATTTCACCCGTTATCAATTGAAGTTTCAGAACTGATTATTTAGTCTTCCCGCGATCATTGTTTGAATCAGAAAGGAAACCTTACAGTGAACTTTGATTTCAAGGGGGGACTTAACTTGCAATATTCTCCAAGGGAGGAATTCCATCTTTGAGAAGAATATTCTTCTCTTCAACGCTGAGGGTAGTGTTCTCCAGCCGTGCAGTGGTCTGCACCAACCCGATAGACAGGATATCGTATTTGACCACTTCTGTGTAAATATATATCAGTTCAACTGTTCCTGTGGAGTTAAGTATATTGGTTGTTTCAGGCGTGTCCTGTTTAAAAGGGTTCAGGAATGCTATCCCAAATGGTTGCAGTAAAGTAGCAGCGGCTTTATAAGGACTGTGATAATAACTGAACATGATGTCAACACTAGTCATTCTGTCTCAGCAAACACCTCCTGCTTCAAAGTGATCTGCCTAAAAAGTGAATAGCAGACTACCAAAGGCAGCATACCTTCGTCTTCTCCGCATTACTAAAGCTATAGATACATTTAGACAGAGAAATTGGATCTATGCATTATTATTATTGTTCCCTTGAGTTCCTAGTGGAACATACAGATTCAACTGCACCTCTCCACTTGCCACTTCTGTCTTCTGCTCTACTTTTCACCTGCATCTATCTTAGTCCACACTCATTCAACTCCTCCAACTAACACGATCTCCTCCACCATGCCACCCTTGCACTGACGTCCCACTCGCCGCCTGCTTCCCTTTCGGCTTGGTTCCACTCGAGCTATGGCCTGACACGCGCGTGATGTCACCCAGCGGCCGCCTCCTCAGCGAGCGACTGTCCAATCCATCTCTCCACTTTCTCCTGTATATTTGCTGTTGTTAAGCGATTGGTTCTTGTTTTGTTTCCTTTGTTCCCATAGTTTCTTGTTGTTGGTGGTCATTTCCGGCCCCCCGACCAGGCCCGGCCATCTGATCTTCAGTATACATCCAGCGAAGACAGTTAGTTGTTGATAAAGGTAAGGTATGCAACAGACTGTTGCTGCAAATATTCTTTGTGACCCTCCCCCCAACACGCCAACTTTCTGATCCGTATAGAAGAACTGACTGACCTGACGTTGTTTGTATTGAGAATTCGACGGAATTTTATTGTTGATTCTGGCTGAGTGACGAAGATTTCTAGATTGGTTTCAGGTTGATGGATGAATGCGTTTCTCGCCCCCCTACCCGATTCTTGCTCGATTTGACATTTGTCGCTTGTCCGTTCCGACTTCCTGTAGTTGAGACAATGCTCCCTCCTTAGATAAGTAAGTGAGTGAAGTGTTACCTCTTTCAAATCCCTCCTGTTGATGGTGATTGACGTTGGATGCTGTTGCTGTTGTTGGTTGGTTATTTTCACAATCTCCGTCTTGTCTATTTTTGCCTGGAGTCCTGTCTTTGCTGCTTCTTCGACCAGTTTGTCGGTTTTCGCTTGTAAGTCTTCGATTGTGTGTGACAGTGACATCAAACATAAATCATCCACAAGCGAAATCCAGGTCTTCTAGGTTCTTCACGTCGGTCAGTCCAGGATATCCCTCGCTGTCTTCTCGTTTCCCACTCACTGTCTGACGCATAATCCAGTTAATCCATCACAATTAGGGATATCATTCATTGGCGATAATAACTAGCACCCTTGTCTGACTCCTGTGTTTACTCCAAACGCCTCGCTGAGTGGGTTTTCCGTTGTGGATCACTTAACATGTGCCACCGTTGTCGTACAGCTGTTGAATAAGGTTGATGAACATTTGGGGTACGCCGTAGTACTCGAGTACTTTCCATATTACTTCACGGTCAACGTTGTCTGTCGAAGGCCTTCTCAAAGTCTATAAAGTTGAGGTAGAGGTTTGATCGCCATTCCATGCTTTGTTCGTTGATGATGATGATGCGTAGAGTTGGAATTTGGTCAGAACGTGATTTGTCTGACTTTCCTGAATCCAGCTTGTTCTGGTCGGAGTTCTGTCTCCAGTGTGTCCTTTAATCTCTCCAGGATGATGCGACTCAGGATTTTGCTTGGCGTCTACAGGAGCATGATTCCTCGCCAGTTCTTGCAGAGTGAGGCCTGAGTCGCCCTTCTTTGGTAGTTTCACGAGGTAACCTCTCCTCCAGTCAGTAGGCACCTTTCCCTTCTAACAGACCTTTTGCAATAATGGAGTGAGTCAGCATGTCTGCTGTCGTCTCTGGGTCGGCTTTCGGTGAGTGATTCAGGGGGTATTCCATCTGGTCCGGCTGTTTTTCCAACTTTCAGAAGCTTGATTGCACTCAAGACTTCAGCTTTCGTTGGAGGATTGGTGTAAACTTGCAGTTGTGTACGCGCTGTTGTTGGTATTTCTGAACGGGTTGCAGGTGATGGTCGGTTCAAGAGTCCTTTGAAGTGATCCGTCCATTGTTTAATCTGTCTTTCTTCCTTGGTAATTGGGTTCCCTTGGCTATCTTTTACAGGTTTCACTTGTGTTGATCTCTTCCCGGATAGAGATTTGGTTATCTGATATAATGTCCTCAGGTCCCTTTTGCCTGCTGCCTTCTCAGCTTCAGTGGCCAGATTGTCGTAGAATCGTCTTTTGTCCTTCCTAACACTCTTCTTCACTTCTTTGTCCAGTGCACAGCTGTGTACGTTGAGCTGAGCTCAGCGTCTCCTTCTTCTGTCCGTCCTTGCACTGAATCATTTTCTCTTTCACCATTCTCCTCTCCTCTATTAGCTTCCAAGTGTCCGTTGAGAGCCATTCCTTGTCTTGTCTCTTCTTTCTTCCTGGAACCGTTGAACACGTTTCGTTGAGAATCGCCTTCAGAGAGTTCCAATGTTCTTCCACGCATGATTCTTCAGTGATGTCGCGTAGTGTTTCCTGCTTTGCTCTGATAGTTTCAGTGAAAGTGTCATTTGTGGTTGTGTCCTTCAGTCTTTGAGTGCTTTGCATTGTGGTCTATCTTCAGCTATCCTCGAGGCTTTAAGCTTCACCTTGAAAGTCCCTTGTACTAGATAGTGAACTGTCTGAAGTCACATCTGCTCCTCTCCTCGACCTTGTGTCCAGTAGACACCGTCTCCACTTTATTGAAATTGAGATGAAGTCTATTTGGTTTTTGGTGTTTCCATCTGGTCTGATGAAACAGCTGTCTGGCAGTACTTCTTGTGGCTGGTTTTAAATAGTTCTCTAACTGATATCAATCCATGATCAACTCGTAGAAAAACTAAATCTATGACAACTCATCACTCCTATTACTATCCTCTTTCGGCGATAAGTGTATGCAAATGCAGTTGTTCAGCTAAAGAGAAAAATGAATTCCCGGGAAAGAACCGCTTCGTCTGACTAGTTGTTTTATTGTTTTCATTTATCTACATATAATTTCTTAACATGAAAAGTAATTAGAACTTTGTTACATTTCACTTGTTATATACACGATAAACTAGCTGTATAGTTAGTTGTTGGGAAATGCAAGATTTTGAATTACTGTGGTTGAATCAGTAAGTATTTTACTTTGCTAATTAATCACTGTCTATTTTCGTTGGACACTTGTAACTAGTGTGAAGTGTCTAGTCCTTTCTTTGGTGCAGACTGAATTCTATCAGTCAGGTTTGCAGTGTGGCCACCATTCTAGTTAGCTCGCCATTACGGTACACATTGATTTGATGATCTAAGATGGCTGGAGGCGATCGGCAGCAAACCTTGAACCTAGGTTTTGTGCTAGGTGGCACTCACTAGCAAGGCATATCTGCAACCTTCAAGGAACACATGTCCCTTCTGTCTATATCAGCTATCGTCAGAAAGGATCAAATAGTGTGAGCTCTTTACCAACTGTTGTTTCCCCTTAATTAATATTACTAGTTGCTCAGCATTGCAAAATCATTTTGTTAAAAAGGAGCGCTGCACATTTAAGTTTTAACTTTCCTTTGCTTTGAAGTTGCATTGAAAAAGAAGCGCGCGCGCACACACACGCACACAAACACACCACTTAAATTTGCATACGTTTCTTTTTTAAGAAGACATCTTTTGTAGAAACGAATGGAGATGGACTGCACATACTACTCCGAGGTCCTTCGAAGGCAGCCTGAATGGGAAGTGATACGTTGAATATCTGATTGTGACGTGGAAAAGATTGTGTGAAGAGAACATTACTGGTTTTTGGGGAGTTGCAAAGTCATTTGAAAATCAAATAAAGTATAATTATATTTTAATAGTTTACACACAATGATAAGTTTTGTTATTGGTAATATTTCGAGCAAAATTACTGCCCGTGTTCACACCACTGTTGGAATTGTTTTATTACCAATTGTTATTACCAATAACAAAACTTATCATTGTGTGTAAACTATTAAAATATAATTATACTTTATTTGATCTAATCCACAATGCTCAAACTTTTTACTGATATTCATTTGAAAATGTTAGCAGTAAAATGAGTGATGAAATGAAGAAGCGTTGAATTCCTCTGCATTATGAGGTTATTTTTAAATCTGTCATCCTTTCGGACGCAGTGACTACTTACCATTCCAGAGGCAAGCATATTATTTATGTACTCCAAAAAGGCTTCATCTTTCACATCAGAGTCTGTAAATATGAATGTTACGCCTTTTCCCATCAATCCAGCTGTACGATAAAGACTTCTGAGGTCTTCTAAAAGGTTCATCACACTATACGCCCTGTAAAATAAAATATATTTATTCAAAATTAGTTAATTCAAGCATCACATTGTTCTTTTCTTAACGCTGTCGTTTTTTAATGCAAACCAAAATCACACGCTGGCTCAGTGATTGGTTAAATAAAATAAACTGATTGTGCAATTTCACTATGGGTAAATTTTTGTTTTGATAAAGTCTCACAGTGTTTGTTATACAGTAATGTTTACTGATGACGTTTCGAGCACAATTTATTGCCACTCATAATCATATCAAAGTACTCACACGACTTCCTAACTTCTCTTATATAGTTCCATTATTTTTCACTTGATTTGATTGGCAGCAGTATTTTCCATATTTCAGGTATGAGTGATGACTCATTCCTATTGCATGTGCTTGGTGTAGACTCGATGAACCAGACAGGATTCAGTAATCAACCTCTCTCTTCACCTACCTAGATTACTTTTTAGAATTTTAACCCTCTCCCACCCCATTGTGGGGTTGTGTGTTAATGCATGCAGTGCAACTGTTGAGCTTTTTTCTAAATTACTTATCTTTTCAGGGTCAACCATTCTTACCTTAGCCAAATTCTTATGTTCTGACAATCTGACTACCCGTGACCTACTAGTTTGACCTATGTAGTTGACCTAACTCACAGTCATTGCATGGTATTTTGTAAATAATATTATTTTGTCTAATTGGGTCAACTGGGTCCTTTAACCTACAGAGCTTGTCTCTGAGTGAGTTTGTACGTTTAAATGCCACCCTAATTCCCGCTTTATTTAGAATCCTACATAGGGTCTCAGATGCCCCCTCTTTATATGGTATAACTGTAGATGACTTATATTCTCTCTATTATTTATGTTATCACAACTAGTTTCACAATTATTTTTATTTTTCTTTTGGCCTTTTTCGATCTTCCTAATGAATTTATAGGATAGTTGGTTATTTAACACCAACGCCTCTTCTATCTGTTTCATTTCGTCATTTAGGTCTTTTCTTGTGCTACTTAGTGCTACTGCTCGGTTTGTTTAACATTTAACTAAGCCTGCCTTAAAAGTTAACGGATGAGATGAATTAAAGTCTAAGTATCTATTAGAATGAGTTGGTTTACTGTACACACTATATATATATATATATATAATATCCCCATAGTAAAATTTAAAACAACACATTTGAGTGAACAATATTGCTGTTTTGAATTGATTGTTTTGATTAAACATCCTTAATGTTGTTAATAACACTAATTCAGCCATTCAGTATTACGTATACATAACTGTAGAACCTGATTATGAAGTTATCTAAAAGAATATTCTTTTTTCTATTTGTTTACTATGAGAAAGGTGCTAAACAGCTAAACGTAAGTAGAGATTAAATTGTTTTGTGTAGGCTAAATTTTAAATAAGAGAAATCCAATTTCTTACTGTTTCAATGTTCTAAACAAATTCATTAATATAAAGGTTCTTTTATTTATTTCCCAATGAATGAAAAACAAAACACTATTGTTTTTACTGACGTTTCGCTATTCAATGCTAATAGCTTTATCAAAGTACTATTAAACCGGAATTTACAAAATCTCAGCATATATATAACAAAGAGTTAGGGGGTGAGAAAAAAATATAGACGTCAGTAAAAACAATAATATTTTGTTTTTCATTCATTGGGAAACACAAAAACCTTTATTCTAATGAATATCATATACCCAATGCCCAAATTTTTTCAAACCGTTAAAAGTGAACTTGGTTTGGACATATATAATCTAATTAAAAACCGGATTACTCTATCGAAGCATAAATGTAACTTTTATAATCATCGTATTTTCAATTTACGCTGTCTGCAAAGTGGAATTATTCCCAAATCACTACTTGTTAAACCTCCTGAATATTCACACAAATCCATACTTGCTGCAAATCATACCTCCAAAGTATTTTTACGAGAACGAATACATATATGCAACATCAAACTTGAATCTTATCGAATGAGAATCAAAAATATAGATGACTGCTTAACATTACTTGTTACAAATCATATCTATGAATCCTTTCAAAAATTGTTCAATGAACGAGAATCTCATTTTCATAATGTCACTAAAAGAAGACATATACAAAAATTCTCGAAACTCGAAGAAAAGAAACAACCAAAGAAAACCTCAACAAATGATATGAGAATATTAGAGCCATACATAACATGTCAGACAAGATACTAACCGAAAATGAAATCTCATTACTACAGAAAGGTTTGAATTTCAATATAACTAGAAAGCCATTATCGGTCCAGGAAATAGCACCTATGATTGAACCTGCTCTACAACAACTCACCAATGAAGAATCACAATCTGCTCGTCAAAAGATATCACACATATTAATGACACAACGAAACATAACATCTAATCTCACCAAACAAGAATATGAAGCCTTAAGAAATTTGAAGAAAGACAAAAGCATCGTCATAACGAAAGCCGACAAGGGGAACGTCACTGTGATAATGAACAGAACGGATTATGAAAAGAAAGCGATTGAACACCTATCTGAAGGACCATACTTACTCATTGAAGAGAAGAAGAAATCCGCCGAATTCAACAAAATGAAACTAAATACAAACAGACTACTTCAAGAAATGAAACCCAAAATTGGAAATTCGCTCTGGTTTACACTAAAACCAAAATCTTATATACCTTCAAGATTCTACGGTCAACCAAAGATACATAAACCCACAGTTCCACTAAGACCAGTGATAGATTTCACCAACTCACCAACATACAACCTTTCTAAATACTTACTCTCGATACTACAACCACTACAAAAGGACACTCAAAATATTGTAAAAAATTCATATGATTTCAAATCCCAAATAGAACACCGAGAAATTGATAAAGAAGACATTATGGTAAGCTATGATATTAACTCACTATATACTAGCATCCCTATTACCGAAAGTCTTGACATCATTTCCAGTCTACTAGAATCAGATACAACGCTATCACAAAGATGTCCACTGGACACCAGTGAAATAATTAAGAGCTTAAAATTCTGTCTGGAAAGTAATTATTTTACATTCAAAGGGAGTTTATATAGACAGACAAATGGTGTTGCTATGGGTTCACCAGTCTCCCCAATAGTCGCCGATCTTTACATGAATAAATTCGAAAATAATATCTTTTCAAGCATACTCACTCCTAAAATATGGTTAAGATATGTGGATGATACTTTTGTAGTACTAAAACGAGATCTACACAATTCATTCCTGGAGAAAATAAACTGTGTATCTCCCAAAATCCAGTTCACTTCGGAAGCAGAATCAGACATCGGTGAACTTCCATTTCTAGACTGCCTAGTTAAGAGAAAGGAAAACGGACATTTTAGTATATCCATATTCAGGAAGAAAACCCACTCCAACAAATATTTAGACTTCAAATCATCACACCCCATCAGCGCAAAGATTTCAGTTGTTTCAAGTCTTCTTAGACGAGCACACTCCCTGATAACAGATGAGCAAGAAAAAGAAGAAGAAATTTCAAACATCACTAAAACTCTCAAGCAAAACAACTACCCAACGAACTTCATCAACAAAATCAACACAAACATTAAGTATGGCCGAAAATGCATTCCGAAAACATGGACTTCAACAGTCGTCATTCCATATAGAGCAGAGACATCAGACGATATCAGAAGAGTACTTAATCAACTCGACATTAGAGTTTTCTTCAAAACATCGGACACACTTCAAAACAACCTTGTCCATATAAAAGACCAAATCCCGAAAGATTCTCTATCTAATTGTGTCTACAAAATAAAATGCTCGGAATGTGATGCGATCTACATCGGACAAACATCTCGAGAAATCAAAATCAGAAGAAATGAACACCGTAGAGCTTCTCTTCGACCACCAAGAAATCCAGTTGAACTAGAAAAACTTCAAAAATCATCAGCCATAGGTCTACATGCTATAGAATCAGGCCACAAAATTGATTTTGACAATATTGAAATAATCCAGAAAAACTTCAGAAACCACAAAGAACGTCTAATATCAGAAGCACTTCATATCAAGTGGAATCCAAATTGTCTGAATGAATAGGAATGATGGACTAAAACAGAATCTGACCTGGTTACAACACCCCTCCTCCCCCATGAAGTACAAAATCAACACAAATGTGATAAGCAAGTTCACTATGTAAGCATATACTGCTTTTATAATTTTACACACTGATCAAATTCAACAATCTACACTTGGTTTTGTTATCTTTACCAATTGACCAACTTGACAACAAAAAACGACCCAGACTGCCGAACGATGATCAAGTATTTCACAATCTACACTTAGTTTTGTTATTTGTACCAATTCGCCAACTTGAAAACCAAAAATGACCGCAGACTAACGAACGATGATCAAGTTAGTAAACTTTATTTTGATATAATAACAGATATACTATTACCTTTGATATTTGGTTTGAACGATCTTCATTGTTATTTTGACTTTCAATATGTCCTTTTAAGTTGAACTAAGTCTATATATTTTTTCTCACCCCCTAACTCTTTGTTATATATATGCTGAGATTTTGTAAATTCCGGTTTAATAGTAATTTGAGAAAGCTATTAGCATTGAATAGCGAAACGTCAGTAAAAACAATAGTGTTTTGTTTTTCATTCATTGGGAAATAAATAAAAGATCCTTTATTATGATGAATATCATATACCACCCGATGCCCAAATTTTTTCAAACCGTTAAAAGTGAACTTAGTTTGAACATATATAGTTCTAAACAAATTATATGAATGATTTAGTCTTGAGTTATACCTTCTCAGACTAACTTTCTAAATAAATATTAAATATCAAACAGTTATGGTGATTTATCAGTAGGATGTAAAGAATGTACACACAAAGTGTGTATTCATTCTTATTTCTTTTGATTCTGCGTGGAACTTAGGTTGGGAGAAGTACACATCATCTCACCTTGTTCCTTACTTTCTTTTTAAACTGGCTCAACAACTGTCTATGAGCTTTCATCTGCTCCTCACATGATCTCCT